TCCTGCTGAACAGAAATGTTGCCCAACCACCTGTGGACATGCATGCAGTGAACCGTGCTGATTTAACCATCGGAAAGAGTCTTTGGTGGATTAATTTTGCATAATAATACATACTTTTTTTTTTTTTGCCATTTAGTGCTTTATTCATAGGGGTTGTTTTCCTCATTTATAACCACCGAATAAACCTCATAGTTTCAGTAAACCTTCCAGTGATTGTGTATTTTTGGCCACGAAAATATAGCTTCACTGAAGTGTTGGTATTTTTGGTATGCCAGTGTTCGTTTGGCTGGTCTCTTCTCACATAACAGCTCATTGGCATCAGTGCTTAGGAATGTACAAGTTCCCCTCCCCGAGACCCAAACACGTGCAAAAACGTCTTGTAATGAAAGAGACCTCTGTTTCCATCCTCTCCAGGAGCTTGGCAGCAAAAGGGTCAAAACAATTGTCAGCAAAAACATGACAGTGATGGAAAAGCTTTGAACTAAAGTACTAACCTACCAGAAATGAAACAGTCAGAGAGAATGCTGGGTAACACTGCACTTTTAGCAATTTAGTCATGTAAAGAGAGGAGAAGAAAGTGCAAAAATGAAGAGAATTTGTGCTAAACCGAGGTTAATGTGCATCAGCTTCCAGGAATGTGAAAAGACCTTGAATTCTGTCTGGTGTGAAACAGAGCTAAGTTTACATCCCGTGTTTAAGAAACACAACATTTGATTATTCAACATATATTTATATATACACTACCGTTCAAAAGTTTTTTTTTGTTGTTTTTTTTTTAAAGAAATTCATACTTTTATTTAGCAAGGTCACATTAATTTGATTAAAATATCTATAAACTCAAAATAAATTTATAATGTTGTTCATTTGAACTTTAAGAAATATTTAAGAAATTTTCTTGAGCATCACTTCAGCATATTAGAATTATTTTAAAATCTCTTTAAAAAAAGATTTAAGACTCCAAACTTTTGAATGATGTATATATATGAGGTTATTAAAACCAAAATATTTTTTTTATATATATATAAATTCCTTATCTATTTTCTCAGTTGCTTGGCTTCCATTCCTATGGCATGATGTTGTGTAGCACCGTCAACTACAAATCCCATTCGTAACTATACATTCAACATCAAATCTCTTCTGATTGGCTGGGACTGTATCATGTTGCACAGCAGTTTCATATTCATTGTGGACGTACAAATTGCTTGTCTTTGGAAATTTGTTTTGTATTGTGCCTAGTTAGGACACATTGTAGCCGACATACTTGAGTCAGCAGTGCCAGGCAAAAACAGGGAAGCTGATGATGTGGTACTTGGATAGTCTGATTTGATCAGTGGTAGATTTTAGTTTGACAACCAGTGAGTTACCGCAAATCTCTTCGTTTCAATTTAAGTGCATATGTTACAAATTTCAAAGTCATACAACAGATAACTGAAAGATTTACAATCAGCCAATGTGGAGACTCTTTCTCCGAATTCAAACAAAATGGCACAGTTGAGCGGGACGCCAAATAGTTTCCTAAACCCTCAAAAAAAAAAATCTTCTGCAAAATCCCTTGAGGCACGAACAAAACATGTTGCACTAAAGAGTCAAACTGTTCTTAACACGTTATGGGTTTCCAGTCAGTTTATTATGGGAAAGTTAACCAGTGTTAAAGATCTTCAGAATTTGAATTCAATAACACCCAATCTGGAGGTCATTATGTGGTGAGGCAAATGCACAAATAAAGACAAAACAATAAAAACAGTCCAATCTTTCAAAACAACACATATTTAAATATCAGTGCATTGCAGAACGTGGAAAATATTTGCCACATTCTTAGACGTCCAGTTTCAGTAGTTGGATTGTAGTGTCTGTGTTTCTGTGAGGCTTGGTACACTGAGACGACTTAACATCATGCTCTTCCATCTATATTTCTCCCAGATGCCCGAACCATGCAGTTCCTTTGAGAAATGTTCATGTGACAGCAAGCTATCGTTTTCTAGAACAACATTGCAAAAATGTCTTTGCTTATGTGACTCACAAAACAAAACAAAACAAAGGTGGCTAATCTTTGCTAATGTGACTCAGAAAACGCACAAAACAAGAATCAAAATGCAAAACGGTGGATAATCTTTTGCTTATGTGACTCACAAAACAAAACAATGGCTAATCTTTGTATATGTGACTCTGAAAACAAAAAAACTAAACAAAACAAAGGTGGCTAATCTTTGCTAATGTGACTCACAAAACAAAACAGTGGCTAATCTTTTGCTTATGTGACACAAAAGCAAAACAAAACAAAACAAAGGTGGCTAATCTTTGCTTATGTGACTCACAAAACAAAACAAAACAAAGGTGGCTAATCTTTGCGTATGTGACTCACAAAACAAAACAAAACAGTGGCTAATCTTTTGCTTATGTGACTCACAAAACAAAACAAAAACAAAACAGTGGCTAATCTTTACATATGTGACTCAGAAAACAAAAAACAAAACAAAAGTGGCTAATCTTTACTTATGCGACTCACAAAACAACACATAAAAAGGAGGCTAATCCATTTTGGTAGCTCATTTGTTCAACAGAAGTTCAGAACAGTCACTTGGCATCGAGTCCTTCCAGGCCTGAAAAGCATCTTAAAACTTCAGCAGCTGCCGTTTAAGCATCACGATTCTCTCTGCTTCCTAATATGGACATTTAAGGTGCCAGACCTGCTCTCATCAGTTTAGGCCAGCAGTGGCACTCCCCTTATGCGACGGATGAAGTTGGCCAATCGTTTCGCCAGCGGTGGACTCGGTTCATCCACCTGGAAGGTGCGGGTCAGCAAGTTGTAAAAAGAGCCGTAGCCCACCGCGACCACCGTGCAGGTGAGGCAGATGACGTTGTAGGGCATGCTGAAGTCAGGCGTGGGTAGATTTACCAGCAGTGGTTCGGTATACACTCGCACAAAGTAGCTTGATTCTTCTTTGACTGGGACACTGGAAGTCAGAGGTGAAATGTTATAAACAAAGAAAACAAATAAGGTACACTTATTTACTATTAAAGAAATAGTTCACCCAAAAATGAGCATTTTCTGTAAATTTACTCACCCTCAGGCCATCCAAGATGTAGATGAGTTTGTTTCTTCAACAGATTTGGAGAAATGTAGCATTGCATCACTTGCTCACCAATGGATCCTCTGCAGTGAATGGGTGCCGTCAGAATGAAAGTCCAAACAGCTGATAAAAATATCACTATAATCCACAAGTAATCCACACCACTCCAGTCAGTGTAAGAAACAAATCCATGATTAAGACGTTTTTAAACTCCATAATCCATAATAACGCTTCCTCCAGTGAAAAAGTCTATCCCCTGTTGTCCTCTCACATCAAAATTGGTTAGAACTGTTTTGGACTGTTTTCACTTATAAACAGAGCTTGATCTGTGTATATTTCTCTCCAGATTCAGACTAAATGATTTTTTCATTGGAGAAAGCATTGGAGAAATATTATGGATTAAAGTTTCATATTTTAGCTGGAAGAAATGGTTTAAAGTTAAAACGCCTGAATAATGCATTTGTTTTTTACAAATGCACAACTTTTCACTTCACAAGATGTTAATGGATGGATTGGAGTGGTGTGGATTACTTGTGGATTATTGTGATGTTTTTATCAGCTGTTTGGACTCTCGTTCTGACGGCACCCATTCACTGCAGAGGATCCATTGGTGAGCAAGTGATGCAATGCTACATTTCTCCAAATCTGTTGAAGAAACAAACTCATCTACATATTGGATTGCCTGAGGGTGAGAACATTTTCAGAAAACGTTCATTTTTGGATGAACTATTCCTTTAACACCAAGGCCGCTTCATACTTACAAACTGCTAAACAATGGTTGATCTTGTGTGAAGTTGGTGCTCATTGCAACCATACTTGGCACAAGGGCACTGATGACAGAGGACCTGCAATAACATATTGATGGTACATCAATCAGATATAGGGAGTGGCACACAGGATGTGTAACAAATCCATCAACAACAATTATTCTTAAGTCAAGAATTGCAAGAGAAGACAAAATCCTGACTTGCAAAAGAACCTGGAGGTGAGATCTTTCAAAATACTTGATAAGCAAGTGTCTTACCCAACGTAGAAGCCGTGGTTGGGATCAGGTGTGTACTCAGTCCATTTGAGCAGGGCCCTTTCAAACTGTACAGTGACCTCGGTCATAGAGTGAGGGGGTAACTGGATCAGCATCTCCAGTAGATGAGGACGATGGCGGTCTTTAGCAGGCTGGTAGTGAATGTAACCTACAGGAGAAGGCACAAAGTTCTATGAAGTCTGTATTCTCTGTGCTCCTAAGCACAGGACTTGTTCTGTCCACTAAGGATGATTACAAAAAAAAAGTATAGTTCGTAATGGCTTTAAACTTTATTTATTGTGACTACTTACTCATTTTAAAGAGTGCTGAAACTTAACTTTTACCAGCAATTTTCTGTTTCGGGCTCGTTCCCTCCCCAGACGTTTTAACTTCCCCTCTACAATTGATTAATAAAAATTGATCAAATCAAGAAAGTCCTGATTGGTATTTCACATTTTGGATTTGGTAAAATACATCTGGTATTTCAGTGTATAAAAATGTGTAATTATGTATATATATAAAATCCTGAAAGAAGAAATATTTAGTAATTTTAAGTAAAATTATATTATAGCAAATATAGTAAATTTCAAGATGATTTAAGTACTGGTAGTCAAAAGTGACCTTAATTGAAGAATTGCCCTAAAACTAGGGCTGCACGATAAATCGCATGCGATATTTAATGCGCATCTTGTCAGAAAGCCGGTTCTGTAATCAGCGGTAAATCTCCATCACCTGCATGCTTTAAGATGCGCGTTAAATATCGCATGCGATTTATCATGCAGCCCTACCTAAAACAAGTGATAAATGTATGGAAAGCACACAAAGTTTGGAGTACACAATATATTTCACACCAATACTAGTGTGGGTCTGTGTCTACTCACTGGGCTTGTTATCACGGGACTTGCTGGTGACTGTCAGGGTGTGAATGTACAGTTGCAGGTACCAGGGCACTGAATCCATTAATAGTACAGGAAAAGCCCGATATGGGTGGTTGTTATAGATGACAGTGTGGATTTCCCCTGTCTGCAGCCCAAAACCAGCCACGTAGCGCTCTGCATGCAGCAGAGGACGCAGCATATCTCCTAAAGCACAAGGTGAAAGAACCATAGAAGATGTTGGCATGACTGGTCTATTAACACAGACGGAAGTTCATTAAGATTGTCACTTTGTAACAATAACATAAATAGTTCTTCAGAATAATAACCATGCAAAAAACATCAGAAGCATCAGATAGACTCCACCTATCAAATGCATTCATACCACTGTCTCCTTTCCAGCGCAGTAGGAGGTTGAATGAACGTAACTGGCCAAATGTCTCAGCTCTGGTCAGGTCATATACCGAATATGTCCTGCGATCTCCCAGCACCACAGCTTGGCTGAGCAGAGGAGTGGCAGGACTCAACTCAAACAGCTCCCCCTGTTGGACAAATAGCACAACACTCAAACTGACTGAAAACAGCAGTCAACTACAGTGGAAAGTTATGAAATGAATTTTAGAATTTAAAAAGCTTCTTAGCCAGTTCTATTTCCCCATTTACAGAAACATTAAAGCATCACAGAGCAGAAAGTATTTTATTGTTTCTGTTTCACCTCAGGGTTGTCTGTGATGTCCACATAGACTTTACTAGACGAAGCAAGAGGACAAGCCTCTGTCAGAGTTCGAGAAAACATCTTAAACAGGGACCATTCTGTGAAAAGATGAATATAGTAATTAATATACAGGTGGACTGAGCATAGTATCAACTTTCTGTCATTAGAAACCACACTGAATTTAAAAAAATAAGGTTCACCAAAGCTTTTGCAAAGTCAAGGCCATTTTTATGCTTTTATGATTTTTTTTTTTTTGATTTCACCTTTTTTTATTATCTTTAAAAATGTTTCATTTGTGTTTCATGTGTCTCACTTTCAAATGTTTCACTATGTTCTCATAGTGAGAAATGTTTTGAAAGCATCACAGTTTTTCCACACTTGAGGTAAATCAATCTACAAACGGCTAGTTGGCACACTGAAATAAAGGGGGACCTCTTCTAACATCAAACATTCATTTATTACTCACCCTTTTTGCCTTGGCCTGAAGTGTAGTGATCAAACACAACATTGAGAGTTTGTCTCAGCTCCCACGCTTTACTTGTGCATTGCTCATCCTAAGAGAGAAAATCTGAAGAGTCAGAAATGCAAAGTATATATATATATATATATATATATATATATATATATATATATAAACATTTTGAAAAGAAGCTTGCCTGACAGATGGGTCTGATGTGAACAGCCTGGGAGTGGAAACTGCTGTGAAACAGCTTCTCGGACTTCATGAGAACCGCCAGACCTGCCTGGAGAAAAAAAAAAGAGAGCAAAAACATAAATTAATTAATTATTGCCTTCTTTAGAATGACCAGTTATTAAATTGCAGGTAATGATCTGAACCTTAGAACCACAAGGGAGAAGCTTCTTCCAGGGTGTGAGATTCTCAGTGCAGACGATTTCACGTGGTAATGTGGCGTAACGTAAAAAACGGTGATCTGTAGCTGTGTGGAGAGGAAAATATCAGGCACATATCAAAGAGAGATTAAACTTTACTTTGTTGCTTTAAAAATATAGTGTGAACTAATTGGGTGAATTTAAATAAAGAACTGCACTACAACTAATCATCTGCTAATGTGACATTAACTGAACCCTAAAAGTATGTTCACACTGACAACGATTAAAGTTGCGATGTAATAGAAGTCGCAGCTGATCTTTTCTTCTGTACTGTGAAATACATTAAAGAAAAACAGATTATTGGGCACTTGGTTCAGTCAGTTTGTTTTTGATTGGATGGATGCAGAACTGAATGTAAGATTGCAGTCAATTGTAAGAAAGGGGCAGGGTTTAGGTGGACAAAATAATAGGAGTCCAACATATTTGACAAGTCTGTCGTTTCAGTGAATAACTGACAATTACAAGGCCAAAAAAAAAGAGAGCAAAGAAACATGCATGGTTGAAACGCTCACAATAACATGCATTTTAAAAATGTAATTTAAATCAGTGCAGGTTGGCAAGAATGAATAAGCTCCGGTTGCTCAGTGTGAATGCGTGATATAATGAGCAGAAAGGGCCGTACCATTTCCCAGACCCAGCGGTTTAAAAGAAGCACTGGGCTGTACAGTGTTGGTCATGTCAATGAAGTTCAGAGATGCACAGAAGATTCCAGAGAGGACATTGGTAAGTTCCTTCCAGTTTCCATCCACACTGAGAATTGAACAAAATTCAGTGGACAGTTAGTTTATTATGGAGTTACAATTTATTCTGTCCAAATTGCAGAATAAAACAAACGTGCTTATAGATCAGGGGCACTTCAGTTTTCAGTTAATTTGAGCACATATAAGTACTCACTCGCTGACTGTGTGATGGAACCACACCCACAGCTCTGCTCCAGGTGGAGAGGGGATGAAGGGCTGCCCCCACTGCATGGTCCTCCAGAAGCCCTGGGTGAAGGAGATGTGCAGCTCTTGCACTGAAAACTTGGAGAGCACTTGGCCGAGGGATTTGGGGAACAACCGGTAATGAGAAACTGTGGGCAAAAAAGACAAATCATGCAAACAAATGTTACGACTTGAGGTGATACTTGGTCAAAATTGCTGGGTAAGGATCAGCTCTTCATGCAAACTTTTACTTCTGTAGCAAGCATAATCAGAACAGTGTACAGACCGAAATCTATTCATTTGATTCATATTTTAAACAGTATACCAGACTAAATTTTATTAACCAAGTCTATTCATTTCATTCATATTTTAAATACTGTACCATGTTTAATTATATTCATTAGGCCTATTCATTTTTTAAATGTTCATTAAGTCTATTTTATCCATATTTAAAACACTACATTTAATTTGATTAGATTCGACTACAAGGAATTACACTTGATGATTAAAATTAATAGACTTTGTTAATAAAATTAAGTATGGTGTAGTGTTTAAAAATATGAAAAAAGAGAATAGACTCAGCAAATAAAATTAAGTATGGTAAAGTATGAATAAAATTAATAGACTTTGTGAGTAAAATTAATTTAATCAACCAAGTCTATTAGTTGAATTCATAAACACCACATTCTACTGCTTATTATCGTAAACTTTTTGATCTGAAGGCTTGTTTAAATGCTTGAAACTAGTTTTAGTGGAAAAATATAAATTGTCTACACATGATTTCTTTTACAATTTCTATTAATTCAGACAGACAGTGAAAGAACTGCAGCTAATAATTGTCCAGCAAGCATGTGAACTCCTTCATACTGTGTAAAAGGCATGCCATGATGCACCTTATGAAGGAGCTCCAAGTGTGCAGAGCTGTGGGTGCTACATTGAAATTTAACTGAAACTCATTTCCTATTCCTCCATCTCTGCTATTTCATCATTTTGACGACGTTACAATTGTTATTATTTAATGTGGGAAACAAAGAAATGAGTAAAGGTGTCAATTTGACTGCTATTGTACAGAGACTAATTCTGTGTGATGGGACACTTCCACAGCAATGCCAACTCACCCTTCTTCTGTCCCTCTTGCAGGAAGTCAGTGTCCCACAGTGTGCGGAACTGGAAGCTGGCATAAATGTCTCCGGAGTGCAGGGGCCGGATGACCAGCTCCTCCTGAAACTGATCTTTCGCTGGTGCTGGTGTAAAAGTCTCGCTGTTTTTCGTGCCGTCGCTTCTGTTCACCTCGACATCAGTCGACTGCCACTGCCTTTCATTCATGTCCTCTCCAGCGACACTGCCATCAGTATTAACCTCTGAAATGCTCCGTTTTGTTGCTGTATTATCGTTTGCTTTTTCAAGCGTGTCACACCTACTGGGGTGAGCTAAACTAGAAAAAAATAAAATGCATACTAGAGACAAACCGCACCTGTGCGCTGCCATTTTTGCCACAGCTTCCTTTCCTGCACACACTTCCTGGATGTGGTTGACAGCATTGACCAATCAGAGAAGTGTATGTAGAAATATGACCAATGGGAGACGGGAATCACATTTTTGTTTTTTTGTTTTTTTTTTATTGTAAATTCCGCGCAGCAGAATAAATAATAAATAGTAAATAATAATAATAATATGAAAGTATCATCATTTATGTTAAATAGCAAATGCTAGATTCACTTTATTGTTCATATAAGCTCATTACCATTGGACTGCTGCATTCTATTGGTATTATTACAAGGGTTCTGATGTTATAAATAATAATTTAGTTATTAATAATAATTTAGTAAGTTATGAGGATCCATTCTTACAAGAATGCTGCTTAGACTTTATTAGTTAGGCTACATTCACTGTCACTACACGACTCTGCCTGCGGTCTCGCTCTTGGATGCTGTATCCAAAGATTCATACTTTTAATTTAATAATAATAATAATTTATGCATTTAGCCGACGCTTTTATCCAAAGCGACTTACAGTGCATTCAGGCTATACATTTTTTTACCAGTATCATCATATTCATTCAGTGTTCCTGTGGCAGCTATTAATAACACCTAATAACATGTAATTAGGCATTCACTTTAATAAGAAAGCTGCTTGGATAATTTCACGGTAACTACACGACTCTGTCTGACTCTTGACAGTCTATCAAGATCCAGTGTTTCAAATCATTTTAATTCTTTTGCTTTAAAAGATTCGTTCAGCTTTGTTCGTGGCCCTTTCTGCAGAGTTAAGGCTTGTTCATACAAAGTACGATGACTATAACTATAATAACTATAACTATAAGTTTTAATAATGATTTCAGATTTTTTCTTCCAGCTGATAAACAATAAAAACACTGACAGCCGATCAAAATCCACCCGAATTCAAAGAGCTCGAGCATTGAAAGACGACAAAACTGCAGCAGGGCTTGTTATAACAACATTGTTGTTGCGTTGGTTTGGGCGCTAAAAGTTAATGTTCTTTCTTTCTTTCTTTTAGAAATATCGTTTATGGTGTGAACGGGTCTTTACACCATTGGCTTGTGACAAGTGAGTGTCTTGTTGTGAGTGAGTCTCTTGAATCATTCACTTCACCGGTTTAACAACACAGAGTCCACTGAAATCAGTTATTTTCATTTATTGTGTATGGTCATCAGTCATTTAATTAGAATTCTTCTGCACTCTTTCCCCTAAACGAACCAATTTCTAAGTTCATTCAGTTTGTTCATGAATAAGATGCCCAAATTCAATCAATACCCAGATAGCACATGTACTGTATGTCTGCACTCTGCTAGATGTCTATTAAAGATCGCTTCATCTGGAAAGCATCTGCTGTGTACAAACATCTGATAGACGTCTTTAGGATGTCAGTTTTACATGCATTCTAAATCATTAACATCTTAAAGACATCTTATAAACGTCTATTTGACATCTGACCGGAAACGTCCTATAGATGTATTGCAGATGCGCAAACACGCCGTAGCTTCACTCCTGATAGCACATGTACATCACGGAGACATCTGCACAATCTGACCTGTGTTGCAGCCTGGAATGAAACCATGCCATGCTGGTTTCGTCTCGCCTTTGGCTTGCTTAGTTGGGGACGCTTGACTGACTGCACAGACACTATTGGAAGAGAGCTGAACTGGATGATGACATTCCTGAATCATCAATGAGCTGACTTTAGCTGAAAAAATGACTCTTTGTTATTGTCTTCTTGCATTATTGACAAACTATTTTCCTGTTTTACACTGTAAAGCTGCTTTGACACAATCAGTATTGTATAAAGCGCGCACTATACAAATAAAGGTGACTTGACCTGAAGTCTGCATTTACATCTGTAAGACCTACCCAGCAGGCACACAATGTCATAAGACCTTGATATTTGGCTAAATTTCGGTTGCGACGTCGGGTGACCAAAATTCAATGTCAATTCAATGTCTAATGTCAATGTAAATTTGATGTCCAATACCGGCGTCAGCTGACGTTGATATTTTGTTGTTTTTAGGTTGTGTAACTAAAATCCAACATTAAGTCAGCGTCAAATTGACGTCAAATACTGACGTTAACCCGATTTTCATTCTCAACCAAAATGCAACATCTGTCCGACACTGGGATCCAACGTCAAACTGACATTATATTGACGTCCGTTGCCTGCTGGGTATTTTTTAGAGTGTTTGCTCATCTGCAATATCTATAGGACATTTCCTGTCAGATGTCAAATAGACGTTTAGTAGATGTCTTTAAGATGTTTATGATTTAGAATGTATGTAAAACTGACATCTTAAAGATGTCTATCAGATGTTTGTACACAGCAGATGCTTTCCAGATGAAGCAATCTTTAACAGACCTTTTGCAGACATATGTGTGCTATCTGGGACCAACCAAATCTGATCCAAATCTCATTGAGATTCGAAACATGAAATGACACAGGATTCACACGAAACCTATTTTCTCAAGTAAGTGACTTAAGCGAGCGAAAATATCAGTCATGGTTCGTTCACTTAAAAGATTAATTCCATTTAAAAAACACCGATTCGTTATGAGCAAAACACCACTAGGTCTGTCAGAAGCACACATGAATGAAGTCACTATGGCACAGAACTCACTCGAATATTTTCTCAATCCATAGTACTTTTTAAAGGCAGGAAATCACACGCTTCAAAAACAAGAGACTAAAAAGGCACAATATGTAATTTTTTGCCTCTAGAGGGCACGTATTCAAAACAAACAAAGAAACAAAGGCGTAGTTAGATGACGCTGTGACTGAGTGTGGAATCATGGGAGTTGTCGTCTTCATCCCCACAGCCGAAGCAATCCGATGGGACTCGGGCAGAAATCATGTTCATGGATGAGCTAATGTATTAAAGATGTCGTAGTATGAAGCAGAGTGAGGCGGAAAGCCGTCGAAGCAAAACGAGGCCGCTGAACGAGTGCGACACACGGCTTGAAAGCAGCGGTGCTTTTATTATGCCACAGTCGACAGCTTCCGCTCCTTCCGGAAAGCAGCGGTAGTAAGCAGCGCTGTTTTATCATACTAGATACATTTGAGCGTTCTGTTATAATGCTACTATGTGCGGTCGTCACCTGTCTAATAAAATGCATAGCATATTGAAGCGTCTTTGGTATCCGGGGGAATGATGTAAGAGGTCGGCCTTGCGCATGCGCCGCTCAGAAGTGATGAACGCGGAAGCGCAGGGGAGAGATCAAAACAAAACAACGGTCATTGTGAGACACTTTTTTTTTTATGGATGGTCGCTTTTTATTTAACTTCTTTTGGACTGAGTGGCATTAAACAGCTTGAAAGATCAAATAATTTTTAATATAACTTCGACTGGATTCTCTGAAAGAAGAAAGTCATATACACCTAGGATGACTTAAGGGTGAGTAATTTATAGGCTAATTTTCATTT